TACCCCTTGGGAAGAAGGGGAGCCTGAGGTAGGGCTGGCTCCATGCACCCCAAGTGTGGGCACTGGACTGCATCAGCGGAGGGTCTGGGGAGCATGGGCCTGTGGATCTCCCTGGGTGAGACCACTCCCATTTGCTCCAGCTGGCTCTGGTGGGCAGAGGCCAGGGTGCATATAACCCCCAATGCACAGACAGCCCCACAGAGCAAGCAAGGGCCCCACCCCAATGACCCAATGCCCTCCCTGCCCACATGAGGGGGTGAAGGCAATGAGAATTACTGGAAAAATAAAGCCAAGAGTGAGCCATTTCTTGGATAAACAATATTAACAAGTGTATGCATATTTTTAGGTTTTTGATGTATTCTGACACTTTCCCTAACTCATTCTACTTTCCAAAAGCATAAATTCAGAGTTCACTCACATGACCAATATTCAGGCCTACTTGTGATCAAACTTGGTGCTGGGGCAGCTTGTGGAAGGGACAAGACAGATATTGGGGGTGGCGGGGCCACAGGTGCCATCCCAACAGGGTGGCAGGCAGCTTGAGGAACTAGGGGGGTGTCAGGCAGCAAGCCTGGAAAAGCAGGATGGCATCATATAAGACTCTTCAGGCAGCAGGAGTGCCCACAGCAGGTTTGAGTTGCTGAGAGCTCACTCTGGGAGCCCGTGTGAAAAGGGAGGAGAGAAGACGGACAGGGCAGGGGACAGGTGCCAACTCCTGGACACCCTTGGAGCAAGCCAGGCAGGGTAGACCCAAGCTGCTCCCAGTGGACCTTCTGGGGATAAGGACTTCCACTTGTCACTACGTAATTCAATAGGAGGCCAGTGTCATCATGGGTAACTCTCACATCCTGTGCAGAAGGCTATTCCCATCAAACACTAAATTTGAGATCTTGTAATACAGGTGACCGCCTGGTTTTAAGTTGGGAGCTGGGCTCCTGAGTGTTCAGTCACCATGGTTTATAAAGTAATCTTTTATGTTTCAAATGTCACATTCTCAGTTAAAATTAAAAAGCAACTGGCAAAGAGCACACCTGGCCCTTCTCACTCCAGCTGAGGACCTGCCCACATTGTCTCCCAAATAGAAGCCTTCCCCGACCTGTGCCTGTCCCCTCCACCCCTGCCCTGGGCCAGCCCCTCACCTCAAGAACTTTGATCAGAAATGGCTCCCTGCCCCATGTACTCCCCCCACCCCCAGCAAGCAGACAAGCTGTCACAGCTCCCAGAGCTCCCTGGCCTGCCCCCCATCTCTAGGCTGCGTGAACTCACATCCCCTCTGTTCTACATGCTCTCCTCACTCTGAAGGCTTCTGCCCCCAGACCTCCCAGGAAAGCCCCCGGCGGGGCTTCAGGCTCTGTCCTACCCCCTCCGCCAAACAGATGTGGGCCAAGGGCCACTCCCTCTTTCTGGAAGCCCTTTTTCTGGCCTTTTTTCCAACAACCAATTCATCTCCCCCATTGCGACACCAACTGGGTGTCCTACAATTCAATTCTGACTCTCTCGGGCATGAATGCAGACCCACAGGTTAAGAGCTCTGGCCCACAAGACTGAGACACCAGTTGCAAGTAGGGTCCCCAGGCTACCCACACTTTGGCCAACTACAAATTTGGGGGTTCCCATGACACCCTCAGTTTTGATAATTTCTGGAATAACACAGAACTCAGGAAAGTGCTCTACTTACTATTACAGTTTATCATAAAGGATACAGACGAACAGCCAGACGAAGAGGCACATAGCACGAGGTCCGGAAGAGTCCTGAGTGTAGGAGCCTCTGTCCCCGTGGGGTCGGCATGCGCCACCAACCCAGAAGTTCCCCAAGCCTCCCTGTTCAAGAGTTTTTATCTTCATTACCTAGGCGTGATTGAATATAACCTTGGCCACTGGCGAGCCAACTCAGTCTCCAGATGCCCTCCCCTCCCTGGAGGCTGAGCGTGGGGCTGGAAGGTCCAACCTTACAATCACAGGTTCTGCCTTAGCATGAACTCAGGTATGAGGAAAAGGGGCTCGTTGCAAAGAACAAAAGACATTCCTATCACTCGAGAAATAGGAAGGGTTTTTAGGAGCTCAGCCAAGAGCTGGGGACCAGGGACAGAGACCAAATACGTTTCTTTGTATCCCACACCTTTCTTTATCTAGCTTCCAGGAGACCACACTCTCCAGGTTCTCCCCCAAGCTGCTCCTGGCAGGTTCCTCTCTACCACTCCTCCAGATCCTCCCCAGGCACTCTGTACCTGAATACCTGCGGGTACATGAGACCCAGAGGTCCAATGGCACCTCACATTCAAGAGTTCCAAGAACTCCTGGACTCTCCCAGCCTGCTCCTCCTCAAGTCCTCCTGTCTGTCTGCTCTCACACCCGGTCCTTGATGAATCTGGTCAGCCCACCTCTACAGAGCTCTAGCCCACTCCTAAGTATGTGCCCCACAGAGCAACTTCCTCCTAAAGAGCACGGTGTGGAGAGGCGGAAAAGAGTAATCCAGAGCAGAGACCTGCAGTCACACCTCAGGCAGGTGAGCAAGGTCAACGTCGACTGTGATAAATCACATTGCAAGCAGGCACCCTAGACAGGATGTGATAAGGACACTTCATCTCTGTGGTCTTCCCTACAAAACCCATAACCATGAGAAAAACATCAGAGAAATCCCAGTAGAGGGGCATCCTACAACATATCTGACCAGTCCTCCTCAAAACTCTCAAGGGAAATCTGAGAAATTGTCACCACCAAGAGGGAACTAAAGTGAAATAGAGACTAAATGTAACGTGGTGTCCTGGATGGGGTCCAGGGACCTGGGACAAAAAAAGGACATCAGAATAAAGTGCATGCAGATAAAAGAAAAGTACATAACAGAAAAAGAGATCAGAGTGGTGTACGGGACAGAAAAAAGGAAATCCGAATACAGCATGGGCCTCAGCTAACAACATCAGGCAGCACTGGCTCACCGCCTGTGACAATGAGCCACACTTAAGCAAGATGTTAATAAAAGGGGAAACGTGCACTAGATAAGGGCCGCCGTGCCCAGCCAGCCAGGAGTGTCATTTCTGAGGGTTCAGGGACCTGCTCCCTACTGTCCCTGGGTCCTGCAGGCTCTGGATTCTCTGTTGGTCCTACAGCAAACCCACTCTCTGCCCTTTATGTCTGTGTAATAAAGAACAGTGATAACTTCAGGAAACATTTGTGTTCCTGGAATGATACAACCACAAAGCAAATTCAGTTAATTTCTCACCCATAAACATGCTACAGAAAAGTGAAGGGGCCAAAGTACTATTATCACCACCCTTAACAGGGAAGGGATACAGAGAGAGCTCTGACAGCAGAGGGAAAGGCTAAAAGCTGGACCGGACACCCAACAGTTGACACACAGTCAGTTCTTGCTGCTCAAATCCTTTTCCACAGCTCCAAAGGTCTAAGCAGCCAACCAGCCATTATTGCTAAAAATTAGAAGAATCATGGTTCTTAGAATGCCTTTGCAAACTGTAAAGCATCTTGAAGTATATCATTTTACTTGAATCTCTCAATCTCAAAGGGCAAGTTTTATTTTTACTTGGATCTTAAAAATAAGGAACAAGCTCAGAAAGGTTAATCTAAAAAGAGAAAAATAGAGAGAGGGAGTGAGGGAGAGTGCCACAAGACTACTCGTGGACTCCTAAGGGCCCGAAGTTTATGTCACAGCTAGGGTCACCGACGCTCCAGGTACAACGGGATCTGCCCCAGGCCATGCACCGCAACACCTGGGGGCTCTCTATGGAGGCCCGATAACAGCATAAGGGAATCAGCCCCACAGACGTCTTGCCAGCCCGCAGGGCCTGCTCGCCAGCGTCTGCCAGCCCCCGGCCGTCTCATCTCAGGAGCCCTCGTGAGTGGGCGCCACGTCCCACCCACCTCAACCACGAGAGGAGCGCCGAGACCATCCTAGGGCGGACCGTCAGAACTTTCCCCGCTCACGACGCAGCGGCCAGCAGGCGGGCGACTAAGGTCACAGCGCGCGTGAGCCACGGGCGCCGCCCGCGCCGGCCGCCCCGCGCGCACTGCCCGCACGGCCCGGACGCTCACCACGCCCCGGCAGCGGGCCGGTCAGGGCGGGGTGCAGGGCAGGGCTGCCCAAGGTCCCTGCTGGGCGTTGCCCCGGCCCGGCGTGACCCCAGCCCCGGGCCGCGTCCGAGCACCCCGACCCGCCCCGGGGGCGCCGCAGGGCTGCCGGGCCGACGCCCTCTCCGCTCCGCCCGTCCTGGCCCCGGCTCCCTGTCCCCTGGGCCCTGCACCCCCGGCCCCTGTTGTCCCCACACCGACCCTGGCCACAGTCCTCCCCCGGCTCCAAGCCCCGACCCCGGCCCCGTCCCCCGGCCCTTCTCCCCTGGCCACCAGCCCACCTCCCCGGCGCCGGCCCCGCGCCGTCGGCAGAGCGCGGGCGGCTTACCCCTCGGGGCGGCGGCGCGGGGCGGCGGGAGGCGGGCGGGCCCACGGCCGCGGCAGCTCCTCAGTAAGATGGACGCCATGTGCCCGGCCGCGGAGACCGCTCCGACCTCCTGCTGCCTCCTCCTCCTCTGCGGCGGCCGCGGCTCCTCGCCGGTCCGGCGGCGCCTGGGCCCCCGCGTGGACGGTTGAGGGCGGCGGTTGGCTCCCAGCGACAGGCGCTCAACTCAAGGGCCCGGCACCGGCGGCGGCCATGCCCCGGCACGGACGTCCGGCGTTACAGGGCGGGGCGGCCGGGCCGCCGCTCCCATTGGGCCCCTCGGGCGCCCGCCGCCGGCCAGCTGAGGGGCGGGCACTGCGGCCGACTACCGGTCCCGGCGTGCCCCGCGGCGGCCTCGCCCGCCGGACTTGCGCGGCTGCGAACTACAAGTCCCGGCGAGCACCGGGCGACCTGACCCTGCGGCGTGCTGTATCCTGGTTTCCGTCGCACCTCCCGCCGCCCGACCCCGGCGCGACGGCCGCGCACGCTGAGGGAGCCGGCGGCGCATGCGTGGCGGGTCTTCGCGCGTCCGAGCGGCGGCTGCGGTATGCAACGGAGCGGGAGCAGGCCCGGCACCGATGGGCGGAAAACGGCTCCGGGGACGTTTTGGGGAGGGTCCCTCGGGGTCCAGGGCGGTGCCCCCAACACAGATCCTCCCTCGCCCGCGCCTCGCCCCCTCGCCCTCCTGCGCTGGCCTGCCCCACCCCCAGTCCGCGAGGGGGACGCGGGGACCCGGCTCGGGGCCTCCGGGATTCCCCCCTGGGCTGGGCCGAGCCCGCGGGTCCGCCCCGCCGAGCGCTCAAGCACCTGCTCGCAGAAGCCTCTCCCCCGAGCCGGGAGGGAGAAACCAGGCAGCCGTGACCTTTGAGCCCCTCCCTTCCCTTCTCTAAGATGGGGTCACATTCGCGACGGGCGTGGGAGGGTCGATGAAGTGATGCGGGGAGAGCAGGCTGGGGTAAAGGTGGGGATCGGCGGCTCCTGAGGTCCACTCCCACCAGCCTGCACCCCAACCCAGGGGCGCCAGGCCCTTCCCCGGCCTCGCCACGCCGCTTCCCACCTCCCAACCTTTGTTCCTCTCAGGCCTCTGCCTAGAAGGTCTTTTCCATCCTTTTCGCCCCATCTGCCTGTCTTGTTGACTGATGTAATCCCAGGGCACCTCTTGGTGAGGTTCCTGCAGCACACACTCAGTGCATATGTGTTCTCCGTGCAGGAGCAGGTGCAGGAGTTCCTGATCCCGTCAGGCTCCCCCATCACTCGACCCTCACCATCTGGAAGAAGTAGCCTGCCTGGAGTGGTTTTCCTGAACCCTGAACCAGAATTGCCAGTTGCTGGACCGGGATGGGCCTGGAGTCCCCATCTCAGGTGGGAGAAGGTGGCTCTGGTTAGTGCAGGGCCCTTTGGAGATGACATGAAGTGCCTGTATTGGGACTGGGCAGTGAGCGCATTAGACGTCAAATGTAGAGTTAATCTAAGCACACATATGCACATATGCATGAAATCCAGGCCTCCACTGCCGACAAATCATAAAGCCAGGCTTCTTTCTTACCTATCCCCTAGGAGTCAAAGGGGGTATAAGGAAAGACAGTCCTCGTTGCCCCAACCAGGTTAGGCCTGTACCAGGGCAGACAGGCAGTCAGGGTCAGACAGGACTGGGCTTTTAATGCCCAAAGTGTAGGAATATGTCCTAGTACTAGTAGCTGACATTGGCCCTGAGCTCCCAAGGACTGTCCCAAAGCCATCCAGGGGCAGGGAGGGAGGCCCCACAGAGCGGGCAAGAAAGCTGATCCCTGACAATGCTCACCGGAGATGGGGCTGAGCAGGAGGTGGTGATCAACTGAAAGGCAAGAGTGTCTTTGCAGGACTTTGAAGGACACCGGGAGGCCCCACCCGCCTTTGTATTGCCCAAGGAGCTGGGTGTGAGGAAGTGTACAACATTGCTCACCAGCCCTTGGGATGACTCACCCCTGGCCCAGCCAGGTGGGGTGGTGTAGGGGCACTAGCTGGTGTGCCCCCTTTAAAACCATGTGTCCTTGAGGCTCCTGTCTGGGCTATGTGCCAGCACTAACGATGATAACAGTCCTGGGCTTGGCCAACCCAGCTGCTTTCTCATGGAATAGTTAGCACAAAGACCCTCGAGGTCTGAGGAAACACAGAGGCCCTCCAGTTGGGCGGGGGGAGGGATGTCTCTGGTCCTGGGAATGCAGGTCATAGACGGATGATCCCCCTTGGCAAGCACACAGCCTTTGTTCCTCTGCCTACTTAAACAAGCTTCTCTTGGGGGGCAGTAGCCGTGCACAGATCTATGTCCAGCTGGCTGCCCCGGGACTCTCTCCCTGTACGTAAGTCCCAATAAATCTGCACGTCTTGCCTGCTGTCTCTGGGTCATTTCTTCCGTCTCTTGGTACGGTACCCTGCTGCCTTAGCCCAGCTGGGCATGTGGACCTACAAGTGGGAGAAAGGAGCCAACAATAGGATCTCCATAGAGGGGTTGGTGCTGTGTTGGGGACTTTTGGGCACCATGTGTGATGCTCTCTGCAGCCCAGGAAGGGTGGGGTGTTAGAAAAATTCATTTTTAAACTGTCAAAATAGCTTTATTGGGTTTTCTGATTATTTAAAGAACATGTGCTTGGTGTAGCCATTTCAAGTTTATAAAAATAAGTGTAAAGAAGCAAGTAGAAGTCCTGCATCTCGAATCCTTAATGCCAAATGAATGGCTGCCTTCCTGTCCTGCATCTCTTCGTGCAGCAGTCCAAGTGCACAGAATCATGGCGTAGCGGGTATGTTTTAATGTCATGGATTCTTTTTGCTGTTTTCTTTCTCTCTTTTCTCTTATTTTGGGGGATCCCTTTTCCTCTTCCCTATGCTCCCCACAAATCATACATAACCTTCCATAGTCGCTCTGCGTTTATACAAGTGGCAGAGTCAAGAGAAATAGGGTGGGATGTCCAGGCAGCAGGAGTGCCCCAGTTAGGGAGCTTAGAGAATCAGGTTAGGGATGAGGTTATGGGTGAGATTAGGGACTGGGTTAGGGGGTCAGGTTAGAGGTCAGGGTACCAGAGGAAAACTTGGCAGGGCTGTGTGGTGTACTCCGGCCATGCTCAGGTACAGGGCAGGCAGAGTTAGATCTGACCAGGGTGGGATTTTGCCCAGAAGTGTGATGAAAGAAGAGAGGAACAGTGGAGTCCAAGTGTGTGCAAGAGAGGAAAGGAGAAGGAGGTAGGGGCATCTTGGGACAGTGAAAGGTGGCACAATCACTGGCCTGTATGGCCTGCTGGGCCTGAAGGGAGTTTGGAGTCAGGTACCAGAGCAAGCAAGCTGGCAAGAGAGGGATGCTCACAGCAGGGGTGGTGGGTGGCTTGCACTTACTGGCCAGGCAAGGGCGAGGGTGTGAGCCCAGAAGACCCTAAGGTGAGGCTGGAGGGCAAGGTCCTCGCAGCAGATGGGCCAGGATGCCTTTGAGCACCTATGGGGGAAGGCGTGCTTTCCTCTAGCTGGAAGCAGCCTTAGCCAGGCATATGCAGCGGGAGGAGCCGGGGTTGGCCTCCAGCCCTCTCTCCCCGCATTGCGACAACCTGTGTGCCCGAGGTGGTGGCCCTGGGCTGGGACGCGAGAGGGATGTGCCTTTGGATCTTGAAAACCCAAGAATGGTGTCTGTGGGACTGAGGTTGAACCTACTGGCTCCCCACAGCAACACCCATTCTCTCTTTACCTTTTTATAACAGAACCCTGGTTTTACTGGGGTTACTGGAAAAAACACTCTATTCACTAGCCTCTCTTGGAGCTAAAACTGGGACTTAAGGGGAAAGGTCTTTACAGAAAAGATGGCCCCTTGACCCTTCTGTTTTCTTCTGCCTGCCAAGCACTGTGGGTGATGGAATGGAAAGAAAGGAGCCTGGACTGCCAACCTCGGACTTGTTTTACATAAGAGCAAGAAAACATCTCTCTTTTCTCAGCCATTGTTATTTGAAGGGGTTTCTGTATATAAAGCTGAACTTAATCATTACAAATTCAAGGACAGACCCTTAGAAGCTGGATTGCTGGGTCAGCATTACTGCAAATGTATATTTTTGTAAACCTGTAGAATTAAAATTTTAGTTTTAAAATTAAAATTGTTTTACTTTTACTTCAGTATATGTAAAGTGAAGGAAAGTGCCCAAGTCCTAAGTGTACGGTCTGAAGCATTTTTCCATTATGCACACACCCGTGCGGGCCCCACTGCAATCAAGGCAGGAGGCTGCCAGCTCCAGAAGCCTCCTCATGCCCCTGCTGACATCCCCCCTTCTCAGAGATGACCTCTACTCTGGCTTCTACCGCCAAGTCACGTTTGTCTGTTTTTCCCCTTTGAGAGTGTGCTTAAGTTCAACATTTGGAAACAGTTTTCCAAAGTGGTTCTACCAGCTTCCCCCACCGCCAGCAGAGTGGGAGTCACTGCATAGCCCCATTAATCCTTGCTTTTGTAGTTATTGTGATTGTAATTCTGGAAGATGTGGGGTATATTGTGGTTTCATTTTGCATTCTTTTCATGACTAAGAATTTTGAGGCACTTTTTTTTTCCCCTGAGGAAGATTAGCCCTGAGCTAACATCTGTTGCCAGTCCTCATTTTGTGTGTGTGTGTGTGAGGAAGATTTGCCCTGAGCTGACATCTGTGCCAGTCTTCCTCTATTTTATACGTGGGTTGCCACCGTAGTATGGCTGACGAGTGGTGTAGGTTGGCGCCTGGGATCTGAACCCACAAACCTGGGCCGTGGAAGTGGAGCACACTGAACTTAACCACCAGGCCACGGGGCTGGCCCTTGAGGCACTTTTTCATATGATTTTGACCTTTTGGACCTCCTCTTTCATGAAGTACCTGTGTAAGGATAGTTTTTGTCTATTTCTTTATTGGGTTCTCTGCCTTTTTCTTATTGATTTGTAAGAATTCTTTGTATATTCTGGATATCGGACCTTAGTCAGATACATGTATTTCAAGTATTTTCTTCCGTTCAGTGGATTACTTTTTCAACTCTTAATGGTGTCTTTTGATGAATAGAAGTTCTTGATTTTAATGATTTAATCTCTTTTTTGGTGAGTGCTTTTTGTGATTGAAGAAATCTTTGCTACCCCAAAGTCACGAAGATATTCTGATATGTTTTATTCTAGAAACTTAATTGTTCTGTCTTTCACATTTAGGCTTATGACCATTTGGTATTGGTGTTTGTTTGTTTTGTAGGCTGTGAGGGTGAGATCGAGGATTATTTTCCCCTCTGGGTACAACATAGATCCAGTGCCATCTCTTGAAAAGACCACGTTCCTCCTCCTTCTGTAGGCAGAATAACGGCCTCCAAAAATGAACACATCCTCTCCTAGTTCCAGAACTTGTGAACATGTTGCTTCACAGAAAAAGGGATTTTGCAGAGGTGATTATATTAAGGATCTTGAGACAGGAGGTTTTCCTGGATTATCCAGCTGGGCCCAATGTAATCATAAGCATCCTTAGAAATGGGAGAGGGAGGCAGAAGTGAGGGACAGAGGGAGAACAGACTGCCGAGGAGGAGGTCAGAGCGATGCAGCAGGAGGGAGACTGGGGCAGCCATTGCTGGCTTCGAAGATGGAGGAATGGGCCTGAGCCAAGGAATGCAAGGGCCTGATGACACCTCAGTGTTAGCCCAGTGAGACCTGCATCAGATTTCTGACCTATATAACTTTAAGATGATGTGTTGTTTTAAGCCACTAAGTTTCTAAGAATTAGTTACAGAAGCAAATAACTAATATAACCCAGTGGATGACAGTGGCACTTTTGCTATAAATCTGGTGGCCATGTATGCATGCCACTCGATTCTGTTGCTTGGGCTTCCTGTTTATGCTTGAGCCAATACCAAGCAGTTTTAGTAACTGTAGCTTTATAACTTCTTTTGCTATATGGTGCTGTCAGACCTCCAGCTTGTTCTTCTTCAAGCTTGTTTTGGATGTTCTTGATGTCGTTTGATGAATGAAGTTCTTAATTTTAGTACAGTCAAATCTTTCCTTTGATAGCTAATGGGTTTTTTCTCCTGTCCTTTTAGAGAAATCTTCCCTGACCTAAGGTCAGAAGGGAATTCACTTGTATCTTCTACCTAAAGATTGAAATATTTTCTTTTACTATTTGAGACCTTCATCCATCTAGAGTTTCCAGGAACCTTTGAATGTAGTGTGAGATACAAGCCCAACTTCATTTTGTACCCTAGAGATAACATAGCCCTTTCCCAGGCCTCCTGATTGAACAGTCCTTCCTTCCGCCCAGTCTGCCCTGTCCCACCGTCCTATGTCAGAGTTCCAGCACATGGGAGTGTATTTCTGGACTCTCTCTTCTTTTCCCTTCTCTCTTGTTGACCAGCTGTTCCCTGTACCACCACCCAACTCACGGTTGTCCCAATTAGAGGCACTGTCGTCCTGAAGCTAACAAGGCCCCTGCACGAGACCCTGGCAAGTCAGTGTATTCACATGGGTATTTTCTTTTTGGTAAAGTTTGCAGAAGTGCGATATTTTGATTGCAATTGGTTAAGACCACTGTCTGTGTCTTTACCGCTTGTGCCTCTGGTTTGACTAAGAAGCGCCTACTTGTGGTTTGCATCCCAGCAGGCTGAATCCTGCTTGGGGTTTGCTGAGCTTCTTGGATGTGTAAGTCAATGTTTTTGTCAACTTTGGAAAATTTTTGGCCATTATTTTGGCAAGTACTTTTCTCTGTCCCAATCCTACCTTTTCCTCCTCAGGTTCCAGTCCATATTGTTAAACCCTTCACTATTGTCTGTCGCGTGCCTGAGATTACTTATTTTCTTCCTCATTTTCCTCTCTGTTCTTCAGATTGGATAATTACTGATAGTCTGTCTTTATGTCCACAGACTCTTTCTCATGTCACCTTCAGTCTTCTGTGAAGGGTGCCAACTGATTTTTTCGTTTCAGTTATGCACTCTCCATTTCTAGAATTTTCATTTGGTTCGAAACACCTTCCATTTTTCTGTTGAGATTCCTTTTCTCTTCACTCATTAAACTACATTTTCCTTTAATTATTGAGTATCTTGAAACAACTGCGTTAAAGTCTTTATCTGTCAAATCTAACACTGGATTCGGGATTGGTTTCTATTGATTGTTTCTTTCCTTGATCATGGCCACATTTTCTCTTTTCTTCGCATGCCTAGTGACTTTGTATTGTATATTGGTTGCTGTGGATGATATGTTGTAGAGTCTCTAGATTCTGTTATCTTCCACTGAAAATGACAATGTGCCCTTTCCAAGGCCAGACCACTAAAGACTCTGCAGCTTCTGGCGTCCTCCCCTTTGCATTCCCCCTCGGGGGGAAGCCAGTCCCCATGTTAGGAGGACACTCAAGCAGGCCATCGAGAGGCCCCCATGGGGAAGAAATGAGGCCGCCTGCCAATGACCAGCACCACCTGAGTAACCATTTTGGCGGCCCATCTGCAGCCCCAGTCAGGCCTTTAGATGCTGGCAGTCCTGGGCAACATCTTCTCTGAGACCTCATGGGAGACCTTGAGCCAGAACTGTCCAGCTCACCCACTCCTGAATTCCTGACCAAAGAAACTGCATGCGATAATCAATGTTTACTGTTGTTTTGAACCACTGAGTTTGGGGTAATGTGACACGCAGCAGTAGATAACTAAGACAGGATGTGTCTGGAGAATGTTTGCTCTAGGATGCAGCCCCAGGTCCCAGGGTCTGGATCCTGGTGTCCCAGCTGCATGCCAGGGACATTCACGGTCTTGAATGACGTCTCCACTCTGGCTGGGCCAGAGCTCCCATGGCAGTTGCTCTCTGGTAAATCTGGGGGCCTCATCCTAAGCATGTGCAGCCCAGTCCTCAGCCAAGGACAGTGGGACATCTGAGATTCCTCGACACACTTGTCTCTCCTCCAGTGCACTCCCCACAGATTCCAGCTACTATGTCACTGCCCCCTCAGCTCAGTGGGACAGCGTGTCCTGGTAGGACTCCATTGCCCTGTGCTGTGGTAGGAGACTGCCCGCAAACATAGAGCTGGGGTGGTCAGGGTGTACCTCATGAATTTCCCTTCCCTGGGAACGACAGTCAGCAGTCTCTGTTTCCTACCTGAGACTGGCTGCCTCATCTGTTCTGTCCACGTGCCAGCTGTTTACAGTGGGAGGGCCAGTCTGGTACAGCTTCTTCGTCAGAGCCCGCAGCGGAGGCCTCAATCAGATTTGCTTTTAAAAGAATCCTTCCACATTTGTGGGAAAACTAGTGAGTTCTGAGTCAAGTCTGGAATTTAGTTAATGGTAATGGACCGGCGTTGGCTTCTTAGATTGACAAAGCTATCATGGAAATGTAAGGTGTTGATACTAGGTGAAACCCGCGGGGGGAACTCTGTATTACCTTTGCATCTTTTCTGTAAATGTAAAATTATTCCAATAAAAAAATAATAGAAAGGATCCACCTGGTTGCAGGGGTGGTGGCGGAGAGGGCAGGCTTGGTGTCTCTGCAGCTGCCAGCCAGAGTGGCTCTGAGTGGCTGTTCCTGCTGTCTCTGGTCAGTCTCCCCACTCAGGTTGTGAAGCCAGTCACCAGTCCAGAACAGAAGCGGCCCAAAGCGCTCCCCAAGCTGTTTCCGACGCTTACATCTCGCTGCAGGCCCAGAGCTTAGGAAGAACTTTTATTTTCTTCTCTCTGCTGTTCTGGGTTTTAATTTCCTACAACTTTCATAATGAGAAAAAGAAGAGCTCCTTTAGTACAACACAATGTTTCTTTAACCAAAGGCTGAGTGAATAGGCAGTGGTGGCAGCGGGCCCTGCCCTGGGTGGTCCTCCATCTGGGGCAGGCCCCGCGGAGGATGGGGGAGAGAGGCCGCAGGAAGGGTGGGGCGGCATGGCGAAGGACGCCCATCTTCTCACCTTTGCCCTCGGTTCTCAGGCATCTCTTCCTTTCCTCCGAGGGACCCGGACCTGCAAAAAACAAACAGCTCCCGGCCCCGGGGCGTGGGGTCCGAGGCAGGAAAAGGAGCCGCGGGCGGTGGGCGGGGCCGGGCGGCGGGCGCATGGCCAATGAGGCGGGCGGGTCACTGTGGGGTGGGGCCCGGCGGCGGGAGCCCGGCTGGTGGCCGGGCAGGTCCCTAACCCTGATGCCCCAG